CAATGCAAATTTCTCTCTAAATTGACTTAGCTTAAGGAAGTTAATTGGTGACCTAGACTTAGTAAAGATGTTCAAATGTGAACAATGTAATCCTATTCTTTAGATGAGCAAAAGGCTTGGAGACTTTAGGTCAGACCTTAATTGAGCCAAAGTAAGGAAACATGACTTAAAGTCGTCGTGTTTTTGTTGCCTTGTTTGGCACAATAAAAACTAATGTGTGCGCTATGGTTAGCAGCATTGCTACGTAGTTTTGGTTGGCGAGTTTTGGAGTTATGAAATTAGTAAGCCCTCAATAGATCTGTATATGATCTTGACTATATGAGCTGCGCGGATTGACTTTGTAATTTGACTTGTAAATAATTTACATCATTGGATGAAAGTAACATTCAAGAGTCACGTCATCCAAAAAATGCGAGCTTAAATAAATTAGTCATTAAGTTTAAGACGAGTAGCCAGTATAAGCAATGTTTGCTCTCTACCCAAGTATTGGGAGTGGATGGAGCAAAAATTTCATGCACTATAATAGTATGCGTTGAAATATTCACGTGAAGTTAAAAGATTAGCGCTTAGAAGCTGCAAAATCTATTAACACTAAGTGAAAAGATTAGCGCTTAGTGGCTGCAAAATCTATTAGCATTGCCAACTTGTCTAAGTCTGGACATTTACTGTTACCACACTTGAGTGTGAGACATGAGAAGGGGGCTCCTTTTATATGATTCCTTAGCTAGGCTAACGTTTTTTTAATAACGTTTACCACTAAGCGCAAACGTTGCAGCATAGTAATGAAAAGGTCAAGGCCGACAAGGTTGTTATGACTCTAAGAATTTGATGCATCGCTTGTGAGAGCATTGTGTTGAATTAGACTCATCTTCTCTGATAAAACATGACATTCCATTCAACAGATCTTATTTCATATACCGAAAATAATTTAACTTGAACATAGCTTTCATCTAGTATTACACCACTGTTGTATATTCACTGCCGGCAACTCACATCGCTCTGTATGAGAGGCGAATTGAGTGTGAATATATTGCAAGAATTGAGAGGGTCAAACATGCTCTTTTTTGAGGGATTAGAGATGTTTTTTGGACCGGTGTAATTAGATGGGTCTGGGGTATATGAGACACCATTTCTGTTCTTTTTGGGTTGATGTCTCTATGCTGGCTCATTTTGAGTTTCTAGTATAGAGCTCCCACATGCAGGTGTTCTCAGCAGTCGAACGGTGCAGTGGCTAGTATGAGATTGTTTATTTTTTGGAGAGATTGAGATAGAGATGTGGTAGTGTCAAGCCAACTCATGTCTGAGTGGGAGATGTTAGAAATTGGGCGCCCATGTGGCATGACCCTTTGAACCTTTTGAACCTGAACCTTTTGAACCTTATCCATGTAAGTTTTGAATTTGACTTCAAAACTTATTTGGATAACCATTCAGGATATCTATATCTATATCTATCATATCAATAGATATGGATAGATGGATAGATAGATATTGGTTATATATTAGATTATATGGTTAATCTAATATATTAAAAAATCAGATACGTATATCAGATATACGTTATATGGGTTTTTACCCATAACCTTTTTTCTAGACTCTCTCTGACTCTCTCCCAGAAAACAACGATCAAGCCATTTTGCACTGTGACTTGTGTGGGTGATATTCATTTTGTAGTATCACTCCACTGCTGGGTTCGTTGACTAATCAGATTTTGGAAGCACGTGATTTACCCACGAGGTTGTGTCATTAAGGTATGATCCGAATTATTTTTATCCGCTGCGTTAAGTTATTATGCTTTATGATTTACAGACTTTTATACTCTATTCAAGGATTACATTATTTCATTTTCAAGTGAGTAGTTGCATGCTACATATTTTTATAAATGTTCTCCTACCTTAAACTGTTAGAAAATTAAATTGTTATTTCAACACTAAACTGTTTTGGTAAATTATTATATTATCAATAGAATTAAATTATTTCTGAAACATGTGTAAACTTAGCATACAGTAAACTGTTTGAAATATGCTTATGTTTATAATGGTGAATTACCACATTTTGCGAAACTGAATTGTATTGATGATTGGTACCATCTGTATATACAAGTCTAGGGAAATTATTCCATTGTGTGTAGTGATTCTGGCCACTAGGGAACAGATCCAGGTTGGGTTGTGATGATTCTAGTGCTCAACGATTGTAAGGAAAAGACCTGAGCTAGGCCAGGTGACCTTCAATTGAATCGTCTAAGAGAAAAGGCCCAGGTTGCCAACCCGAGGATGACTCTTGGTTCAATATTGGATCCAACGGGCTTATTACCTTGAAAACTTTGTGGCATGTTACTTGTTATTTTTGGTGCCTAGAAAATTATTGATGATCATGTTGTAATCTATTTTAAGTGGAGAATGCCATTTGTTATGTTCTTGAGAGACATGAGTATTTTAACTGTCGAACTGTGGAAGATTCTTTTTGAAACAAATTGTCTTTATCAAAACTGTACGCCAATCTAGTTTTTGTGATATATATATCTTATTTTGGAATTGAACCCAGTTTTTTTTTTTTTTTTTTTTTTTTAAATGTATATTACTATTTATGCTTCTACTCACTAAGCTATCAACTGACTTAGTTGTTTATTATTTTCAAGTGATAGAAGGGCTTACACATGGCGTAGCGGGACTCAATTGCATAGACCTCTAGGACATTTTTTTTTTAAGGTTTTCTTTTAGCTTGTTATGTTGGTTTTGTGCATACATTGTGGTTGGGTTTTTATCTAGAATTATTTAATTTTGCAGGCGGTTTGTGTCCCATTTAATATATATTTTTGGAAGTTGGTTATAGCTGGTTTTGCCATTCATACTTTTGACGTGTCACTGGATTGAGTTTTGATTTATTTATTTCTAGACCATTATTACATTTATTCTATGTAATTATAGATTCGTGTTTAGGCTTACGTGTACCTTGGGTTAAGGCCTTGTGGGCCACGATTGGTCATACCCGGGTTTGGGGTGTGACAATCACCGCCCTAAAATTCCTTCTGCAACTAAAATTTATACCATAACCATATTTACATATAAAAAATTCAAGACAATTTACTTTGATCTCTCCTAAATTTTAGAAAAAAATACAATAAGTCTTACAATTTTGATATAATTATATTGACCTCTTTTTTAATATAGTTAAATAGACCGAACTAATATAGATGTTATGAAAATACAAAAATAAACAACATAAAATATATATTTTCATGTAAAAGAGATGACAATATTATTTTTTTTCATTTATTCACCTAACAAATTATTGATGAATATTGGGTTAAACATTATTTGAATTAAAATCATAAAAGAATTCAATGTAACTATGTCAAAATTGAGAGACTTTACTGTATTTTTTTCAAATTTCAAAAAGATTAGTGTAATTTACCCAAAAATGTAAGTCTTTCCAAGAAAACCTTTTTAACGCACAATTTTATTTATTTATTTATTTTTTTTTTATCATTGTTTAAAGGCTTAGTTACACTTGTCACTCAGTTTGACTCAAAGTTGATTTTAATTCCTACAGTTTTAATTTAAACAATTTGTTTCCTACACTTTAAGTCTAATTTTAATTTGGTTGTTTTGTTTAAGTTTTTGTTAATTTTTGGGATAAATTACACCAATAATCCTTACATTCTATCCCTTATGTCATTTTGGTCCCTACATTTTCAATAAACTCAATTTTGACCCTTAATTTTAAATTTTATATCAATTGAAATTGGCATACATAGTCCTTAGGAAGCCCCTATTTGAAGCTGCGCATGATGAGATGTCCAAAAATCTATGGTAATGATGAAGGTGATAGTGATAATAGACTGGACTTGTATTTTCCTATAGTTGTATGCATGAAATGGAGTTGTTCAGTTGAGAAGCTAGACTATTCCGTTAAAAGAAAAGTAAAAGGATAAGAAAATAGACTATGAAAGAGTTGTTGGAATGATTTTCATTCTATTTACTAGCTTACCTTTCCTGTCTTATGAAGTTTCAAATGCCTTACTTTTCGAAAATTGTCCAGATCGACTGTTAATTTGGTTGGCTGAATTTAGTGCCAAGTTGGTTTAGACTATTCTGATGAGCATGACTATTGTTTATAATCAATGGGATTCCCTCAATGGTATTCCAACCCTTCGGACCAATAATTAAAAGGAATCTATTTAATCTGATTGTTTAATAGAGAGAAAAAGAAGAGCATGTATGCTGATTGTGGTATTAGTCTTTGTTATCTGTATGCTTATCCTATAGATTAAATGAAAATAAATAAATAAAATGATCAGTAGAAAAAAAAAAAAAAATTTCTCAAGTTGACATTGAAGGGATGACTGAATATGTGTTTGAAATTTCTTCAGTTTCAGTGAGAACAGCTTCTTCGTGCTCCATCAGAAAAGATATCAAGCGATTTATGCAATCAACAACAGACAAGCAAACAAGGAGACAAAAAATTGTATGGTCTATGAATTTTGTTATCCAAGATTCCCAATATCTGGCAGACTTACTGCAAGAGGTCTTGAGTCTTCCTTTTTTCTGTTTCTTATTTATTTATTTATTTATTACATTTCTTATAAAATGAATAAATAATGTAAAAACAAAGGTAGCCCATGAATTGAAGATGAGACTGTCAATGGAATGCCTTAAAATACGTTCATTTTTTTCCTCTTTATTTTCCATCTTAATAGTCTTCCATACAGTAGACACCATAACTAAAACTCACTTCATTACAGGCAGCAACACCATAGTGTCTTCTGGTGGAAGCTTTGAGATGGGTTTTTCAGGCCTGGCAGTTCCTGGAATCAGTACTTAGGAATATGGTACAAGAATATTTCTGTTAGGACCGTTGTATGGGTTGCCAATAGAGAAATCCCATTCCTCGATTCATCAAGCGTCTTAAATATAATCAACCCTGGAATTCTTGCCCTTGCCAATGGTACTGGCAGCGTCATTTGGTCTCCCAATATGACAGGATCTACACGGGACCCTGCTGCACAACTGATGGAGTCTGGAAATCTTGCTGTGCAAGATGCCAACGATAAGTCTGGGCATTTTCTGTGGCAAAGTTTTGATTATCCATGTGATACTCTTTTACCAGGCATGAGGCTTGGAAAGAACTTTGTAACGGGCCTAGAGTGCCACCTCTCCTCCTGGAAGAGCAGCGATGATCCAGCTCAAGGTGGGTTTTTTTCTGTTGAACTGTTCCGAGCTGGACCATGGAATGGTATCGGATTCAGCGAGAGACCAAACCTTAAACCTAATACAATCTACAAATATGAAGTGGTTTACACAGAGGAGGTGTATAATTCTGAGTCATAATGGTGTTGTCGAGCTGGACATGGATTGATCCAACACAAGAATGGGTCCGTTACTTGACTGGACCAGCCGACAACTGTGATAGCTATAAACTGTGCAGTCCGAATGGTAACTGTAACATTGGAAACTCACCAGCCTGTGGTTGTTTGAGTAAATTTATGCCCAGAACCAAATGGAGATTGGTCTAATGGGTGTGTTCGGAGGACCCCGTTGGATTGCCATAATGGAGATGGATTTATCAAGTATTCGGGGTATAAAATGCCGGACACACGGAGCTCCGGGTATGACACTTGGGAAATGCGAGATGGTATGCTTGAAAAACTGCTCTTGTATGGCTTATGCAAATTTAGACATAAGAAGAGGTGGAAGTGGCTACTTGTTTTGGTTTGATGAGTTGATTGATATGAAAGAGTTAAATGCAAATGTGCAAGACGTTTACATAAGGATGGCTTCCTCTGAGTTAGGTAAGAATTCATACCAAACACAGATAGGTAAGAATAGATTCTACATAGGTAAGAATTCTTCTTTAAAAAATTCCTCACTATATTACTTTTTCTACATCTAACTACAATTTAGCAAAAAGAGAGTTCATTTTGATTTCATCTTGAACCTTATTTTTTGTTGTGGGAATTCAATTTGGTCCAACTCTTATTTGAATTTGAGCCTATTTTGATCCCGGTTTATTATCTTCTGGATTTTTTGTTTCTATATTGTGTTATTTCAGTGTTCTAGAGTTATAATGATCTTTGATCTCTATGCTCAAAGTGAAACTGCATCATTCTTCGCCATGGATGTAGGCTTGGCAGCAGAATTGTGTAGGAACAGGAGGGGGCCGTGGCACCCCCCATTTAAAAAATAAAATAAAATAAAATATTTATATTTTTTCAAAAAAAATAGACCCACGTGCACTTAAAGTTGTGTTTGGATTAAGAATTTGAAGCAGATTTGTGGAGGGGAAGAAAAAGAAAAGGGAAAGTAAAATATTTAGCTTATGTTTCATATATTTTTGCTTATCCTTTTACTTTCTCTCCACAAATCTTTTGTCAAATTCTTGATCCAAATACAACCTTAGTCCTTTATTTTACCGAAGACCCTGGTTTAAAAAGGATGGCTAAAAATCAAATAAGCTAGTTAACTTTTTAAAAAAAACACGACTACCAGAGTTATTTATCAATACAAGAATGTCTTTCTATTAAAGAGTTATTTATCAATAAAAAAATCCAATCAACTGCCATCTTCACTTTTATCAGCACCAACATTGTCTTTCTATTACAGAACTCACTCTTTTTTTATGCGGACTCTTCTATTTCCCCTTCAATACCCGTGCCCTTTGAATATGACACGGGTAACGGTGTGAGATATGTGTCTGACGCTTGTACCCAATTTAGACATTCATATCCTTTAATTTGTGACAATACATGAAGAAGAAGAAACTCACATTTGTTAGTAAAACAATATTTTTAGGCTCATGAATTAGATATAGAAATTTCATATTTTTTCTTAATCCTATTTAATTTCTAATATCTCATCCAAGAATATTATATAATATGCAATATATACGTGCATATGACATGTCTCCATACCCATACCTAATTTTGGATACATACCCCAAGATCCTAATATTTAAATTTATGAAGGTCTGACACTTGAATACACACCTGCACCCGATACTCATACCCGAGTCCATATAACGTATCTTTTTGGTCAACTTTAAGTCTCAAAATAAATTGTCAAAATGTCTGACGCTTGTACCCAATTTAGACATTCATATCCTTTAATTTGTGACAATACATGAAGAAGAAGAAACTCACATTTGTTAGTAAAACAATATTTTTAGGCTCATGAATTAGATATAGAAATTTCATATTTTTTCTTAATCCTATTTAATTTCTAATATCTCATCCAAGAATATTATATAATATGCAATATATACGAGCATATGACATGTCCCCATACCCATACCTAATTTTGGATACATACCCCAAGATCCTAAGATTTAAATTTATGAAGGTCTGACACTTGAATACACACCCGCACCTGAAACTCATACCCGAGTCCATATAACGTAATTTTTGGTCAACTTTAAGTCTCAAAATAAATTGTCAAAACTTTATCATCATAAAAAAACTGACCTTATATTGTTGAGATATTTTACTAATATTATTTTTATAACTTCATGTCTATCTTATATAAAATTATAGAAATATTCGCTAATAGTAATTTTAAAATTACAAATGATAAAATTCTACCTAAAATTTTTTGTCACAAGAAAGATTAAGTGAATTAGCCATATTATCAAGTGAAAATAATATATTAATTAAATTTGAATATAAGTTTTAATTATTAGTTATTTTTCCATCTTAAAAATAGAGAATAAATTTTAAATAAAAATAAAGAAAACAATATTGAAAATTGTATAGACCTCATTTAAAATTGTCCTTTTAGACCTCAAATTATCTTGAGTTGCCCTGATTGGTGAAAATACTTTCTTCTGGTTCTGCCCCAAGTCACAATTCTGGATCTGCCCCTGTGTAAGCTTGTACATTCTTGCACGCTTGTGTGCTTGTTTTGTTTAGCTTTATTCATCCCTTTTTCCATAACAATTTCAATACATGGGAGCGTGATCAAGGGTTTGAAATCTAAAGCAACCCTTTTAAGTTTGTGCTTTCATTATTGTATTATCTAACTGACCAATTGACCATTTTTGTTAAATGGATTGAGGAGTCAACAGTCCATAGCAACAAAAGAGAGATAATGGCAATGACCTTGGCATTGTTAATTGGACTTCTTCTGCTGGGTATAAGCCTGATTGTGTATCTCCGAAAAAGGAAAATGAAGAATTCACAGCTAAACAAAGAAGGTATATATCCATACATGCCATTCTGTGTTAAATTATGTACTGGTATGTTACATTTTTGGAACTACTTGTCATATTGATAACTATTTTGTCCCCACTTTGCAGGAATTCTAATGCACAAGTCTGGACATGGTTACACTGACAAAACCCAAAACGAAGATCTAGAGTTACCATTGTTCGACTTAACTACAATATCTGATTCCACAAATAATATTTCAATCAACAATAAGCTTGGAGAGGGTGGATTTGAACCTATTTACAAGGTAACAATGTAAAGACACTCTTATGTAGTCTATAGGAATGTGATTGATGCCCAATCTCGTGGAGTCTATCCAGAAGCCATAAAACCATTCAACTTTTTTATCACTGCTTTTTCATAACTAGTAATTCTACAAACACATAAATTTTTCTACAAAAAGGTGCATAGAATGTTGTTCTGCAGGCTGCAACACTACATTCATCTTGATGTTTGGGTCCCCAATTTTTAAAAAAAGACAAATTGCATTCCTAAACTTACTAAATCTTTTAATACAGACCTCACTATTCCGAAGATAAAATTTTTATAAATATGCTTGCTTTTGAGAAGAGGAATTTTATATTTTTCTTTCAGCTTACAATTAGTTTGATGCATCCTTTCTCCCTATGAAACCTCATAAATCTATGTAATTTTGTCTTTTAAGTAGTTGTGACATAAATCACTAGTCATGGCTACACCTATTGGAACAATGTTAGCTAGAGAAACATAAAAACAGTAGGTACAGATACAATTAATAAGAATGTCAAAAAAAAAAAAAAATTATTTGCTTTCAAGCTAATTCTAGTAGAAGATCATTCTATCAATTATAATGGTAATTCTTAGGGTACACTGGAAAGAGGACAAGAAATTGCTGTGAAACGGCTCTCAAAGAATTCTGGCCAAGGACTTGATGAGTTCAAGAATGAAGTTATTTATATTGCCAAACTTCAACACCGAAATCTCATGAAGCTTCTAGGATGCTGCATTCAAGGAGAATAAATGATGTTAATCTATGAATACATGCCCAACAAAAGCCTAGACTATTTTTTATTTGGTTTGTCTCTCTTCAAAACTATAATATTATATATATTGCAACTATTCCACTCTAAGACCACAACCAGCAGTCGTTCTTTCTTTCCTTTTTCCTATACTTTTTATTTTTTTGTTTATTTTTGGTTTCATATAAACCTTGTGCTTTATTTGATAATGGGAACGAAATTATATGTGGTTTTTATTACATGTGCATTTGCATGAACTTGGTCTTCCAAATTTTGGGATTTTCCATTAAGGAATCCTGTTAAATTCATTCATCGGATTAGCAAGAGTGTGGACTAAATCAGACAAAAATTTTGGACAGATCAAAGCCAAAGCACATTACTGGATTGGTTAAAGCACTTCCACATTATCAGTGGAATTGCATGGGGGCTTCTTTATCTTCATCAAGATTCTAGGCTGAGAATTATTCACAGAGATCTCAAAGCTAGCAATATTTTGCTAGATATTGACATGAACCCAAAAATATCAGATTTCAGAATAGCTAGAAGTTTTGGAGGAAATGGGATAGAAGCAAATACAAAAAGAGTTATTGGAACATAGTAAGAATCTCTATAATATGTTTTGTCTAATTCACTTATATTGTTGCTTCAAAATCCAATCTTTCATTCAGTGCTTTGTTACAGTGGGTACATGCCTCCAGCGCATGCAATAGATGGGTTATTTTCAATAAAATCGGATGTATTCAGCTTTAGCCTTTTGGTGTTAGAGATTGTGAGTGGGAAGAAAAACAAAGGTTTTTATCATCCAGGGCACTGCCTCAACCTACTTGGCCATGTAAGTGTACTGATTAGAAATAATCTTCTATGCACGTGTTCCAATAAGGATAAAAGATCCTTCATTCCTAAATTATCTCTGCCTTCTGTTCCGAAACACTCAGTCGTTGGATCCTTGAGAGTCTTGAGGTACGGGTATCTTGAGGCATAATCTAATTGTGAGTGTCTTGAGAAAGGAGAACAGAGAAATATGGAGATAGAGGATCTTGTGTCTCGTACTACTAATATTGTAGTGGATTATTCAGGCATGGAGACTCTATGAAAAAGGCAAGTCATTGGAATTGATTGATGAGGCTCTATGGGACTTATGCTACCAAATTGAAATATTGCAATCAATCCAAGTAGGT